GCAACTATCATTCTTCATTTGCAAACAGAAGGTTGGAAAAACTATCCTGATTCAGAGTAAAGCAAAAATTTGTGACTTCACTTTGAGGTTACTGATTATTCTTGCGAGCATAAGATTTTACTGGCCATATATTCCAGGTGACTCCTTTCCAGAGATATRTAGAGAAAAATCTGAGAGGCCTGTGTCTAGATCATTTTATATCTGAATTGATCAATTCATAGCCTCAATTGAAATGAGGCTTTCACTGTTCAAATTAAAGTGACATAGTGATTCAAAAATAAGAGGCACTTGTAAATACAACCTTTCGAAAGAGATAATAGGAACATGGTCAATAATAAATCATATATTGCTTTTTGAAATTGGCTTTAAGAAAATAAAATATATAGAATAAATAAAAATATTGTTAAAGAACGCAGAGCTGAATTGGAGGACTCAGCAAAAGAAAACATGCTTTGAAACTCACAAAACTTCCAAATTGTCACTCATTTTCAAGAAATCTGATCCTGACTGCAATGAACTAGTAAACGTCTCTTCGTTGTCAAATGGCTATCTGAGTTTGGATATCATTACTGCTGGATGTATATATATGTCATGAATATTGAAGCCCAGATGTCAGACAATATTCAAGTCAGCTTGACAGAAGGTGCTGTGTTCAAGTCAGGGGATCCAAGAATATCATTCCAATATTGATGCAAGAGCTGGCAGGAAAAGGGATCTCAAGAAAATTGTTGGAACGGTCATTGAATATGCAACCTCATTTTTAGGATTAAAGCATAATAATAGCCTCATGAAAAGGGGAGCATTGAAAGCTTCTTATAAAAGTACTACCTCTGGCTGTATTCAATTTGGAATACTGTTTATCATTTATTTTTCTGAGGTAAGAAAAAAAGTTGAGACTTTCTTCAGTTAACCCTAGGATAAAATATTTGAGAGTCATCCATTCAAGAGAATTTTTTTCAGATATTCTTTTACAGTTTTTGAAAACACAATTTTATAATATTTTGTGATGAATATACCTGTGAAAAATTAGTATGGTACACTTCACAAAGATTTTATCAGACTATGAAAAGGCACTTTCATCAGAATTTCTATTTTTTTTCCAAAATATTCCATAAAAAAATCTTTTCTATCAAAATCATTTAAGAATTATTTTAAATACTATTTTAGTTCTCCATTTAATTCTTTTAAAGCCTGGGGRAAAAAAGGACTTTTGAATTCAAAGTGATTTAAATTCACTAACATTAGATAATTGTAAGGCCTGTAAAGCCAAAAAATTTCCTTATTCTGTGTTCTGAAAGCAAAAGATTTGTAATAATATTTTTTAATTCACTTCAAAATTCCCTTTGGCAATTAGAATATAGATTTTATAAAGTGAATACCGTTACCAAATGGAAAATATAATTTAGCTATTTTAGGTGATAGTGTACCTAATGTAAAGTGCTGAGATGATAGAAATTGTTCAATAGGTTTCAAAACATCAGGATTTGAATTTTCATACTATGTACAGCAGATAACAGGAACACTGCCTAACCTTGTGATACCTACATTTCCCTCAGCTTTCCCTCCTGGAGTTACCTTTGAAAGAAAGAATTTGCAATATGAACTTGTAACCTCATACAAATCTTTGTATTAATCCTTAATAACAAAAGTTCCYGGAATATAAGATTCTTCAGGAAAAGTGCTCACACACTACCAAATATCCTACTCCAGCTCCAACTCTGGCAATCCCTTTCTGGAGAAGAAAAAATAAGATTTAGCAATCTGTCTTCATCCAGTGATCATGATTCAGATAATGAKGTGTCCTCTCCAATTTCAAATCACAATGTCTCTCTTTCACTCACGCTTTTTCTGCAGTGCACACACAAAATGCACACACATGTTTTGGCAGGGAGAACTCTCTTGCCTCCCACACAGAATTTGCACTGTTCAGTTTCCATTTGATGCTCTCATTTCCACTAGAATCTCAGTGCATCACGAACTGCCACAGCGGGGAGCATCTTGAAATATTTCTAAGTGTACTGGAACCTTTGTTCAAAGGTCATGATGTATTCTTTTCTCTTTCTATGAGAGCTTGCAAGCATTTATTTTGGCCATCAGAGATTTTTGATTTCTTGCGCACATAAACTGCACCATGAGTTTCACTGCTCTGCATGTAAACAACATTTCAGAATATTTCAGAATATTTCAGAATATTTAAGGTTGGAAGGGACCTCTACAGATCATCTAGTCCAACCTTCCTGCTCAAGCAGGCACACCTASAGCATGTGGCACAGGGTGGCATCCAGGCGGGTTTTGAAGACCTCCAGAGAAGGAGACTCCACAACCTCCCTGGGCAGCCTGACTGCTCTGTCACCCTAACAGTAAAGAAGTTCCTCCTCACCTGGAGACGGAACTTCTTGTGTTTCAGCTTGTGGCCATTACCCCTCGTCCTATCGCTGGCCACCAGTGAGAACAGCCTGTCCCCTTCCTCCCTGCATTCTCCCTTCCTGAACTTATACATATTAATCATATCCCCTCTGAGCCGTCTCTTCTCCAGAGAAAAHAGGCCCAGCTCRCTCRGCCTCTCTTCATACGAGAGATGTTCCATTCCCTAACATGATTTACACACAAACCTGTGAACAAATGAGATACAGACCAAATGACAGAAAGCCCAAGAAACACAGCAAATTTGTTTAGTGAAAGCTACATTACTCCAGGAATGCTTCATCACAAAAGAGCTTGTACTGTGCTTACCCAACCACCAGTGACATCAGTTGTAAGTCCTATTATTTTATAGGAAGCAATTTCAAAAAGGTAAACAAATTAATTTTTATTTTTCAGAAATCCTACTAACAAATGTGACAAAAAATCCACAGAAGAAAACATACACTGTTAATTTTCACAGAATCACAGAATGTCTAAGGTTGGAAGGGATCTCTTGAGATCATCTAGTCCAACCCCCTGCTCCATCAGGGACACCCAGAGCACGGGACACAGGGCGGCATCCAGGTGAGTTTTGAAGACCTCCAGAGAAGGAGACTCCACAACCTCCCTRGACAGCCTGTGCCAGGGCTCTGTCACCCTCACAGTAAAAAAGTTCCTCCTCACAGACAGATTTAACTTCCTGTGTTTCAAATCACACCCATTACCCCTTGTCCTATCACCGCTGTAGGTGTCACTGGGCTATCACTGGCCACCACTGAGAAATGGCCACCAGTTCTCAGTGAGAAACGGCCATCATTTTGTTACAAAGTAGTTGCTGGACAAGAATATGAATTAATTTGTGTAAAGAAACCTTGTGTTCTAAAGTGATGTGCTTAATATACTGCATACTTGCATTTAAGACATTRGACTTTCTGACTGCAAATCAGAACATTTTGGTTAGTCATATGTTATAGCAAGAGTGAAGAAATGCCAAATAAAGGCAAAATTTCCAGAAGATAGTATGCTTAAAGCATACAGTAAAAAAAAAAACCAAATATTGAAAGATTTTCAACATTCTCTGCACGTCATATTCTGAATGAACATTTTATTTCCTTGTCAGTGATTCAGAATTTCCATTGCTAGGAAAAAATCATACTAACTGTAAGGGGTTTTTTGTTTTTTTTTCCCTTAAGTCAAAGGCATAAAATAAGCACCAGGAAGACAATTGTACACCTGTTTCCAAAAGTAAAAAGGCATCTCAGACCTGATTTGTTTTTGAAAAGTTGGCCAAGGAGCATATTTCAGAGGCCCAACAGCCCAAAACATTATTCCCAGTGTTCTATACTGTATGCCTAATTAGGCTTCAACACATTTGCATAAGCATGGTGCTTCATGATTAATGTATAAGTCACAGCATGGAGCTCTGAATCGATTCATCTGCAGATCCCGCACCCCAGCCCTACTGCAAACAATCAGTGCGTCTGAACTGCCGTTCATCACATTTCCAGATACAGCTCTGCTATTGAAAATCAAATTGCATATATTTCCTTATAAGCCATACTGAGTTGAAAACTTCTTTTATCTAAATATAATACTAATAAAAACATGTTAAGTGTTATAAAGCCTCTGGCATTTATACTTCCCATGATTTATTAGATTTTTTCTTTTTCCTWTTTTCTGTCTGAAAATTAAGTGTCATATCTATGGCTTTGTTCTGGAAATTATACTAGATCATATGAAAAACAAAGGCTTCATTAAACTAATAATTTAATAATTACTTTTCATTATTACTCTTGGGATAATGTTAACCTAGAATGAACTAGAACTTGCTGTTCAAAAAGAGCAATATGTTAATACTTCAATAACATTTCCACTCACAGTCAAATTATATGGGAAAACTCAAAATGTTAGCAAAGATCTGATGAATAAAAGTATGAAGATACTGTACTGAGAGAGTCAAGAAAATTTAAACTTTATGCTTACGCAGTGCAGGCATCTTGAGATCTCTTGAGAGACTCAAGCCAACACATGTACTTTTTGCCATAGTTCCTTGCAAAAAAGCTTATGTTAGAATATCTTCCAATAATGTTTCATTCACTACAGTCACCAAAGTAAATCTACTACTGTGAATATTACGTAAATATTTTTTTGTAATGCCACAAACAGCACACATGGGATGTGATTTATTTTCATCATTATCTTGTCTTAACAGAGAAGGCTATCCAAGGCAGTATTGCTGGGATCATCTCAAAGCAGAGTAGAGTCAATCATATTTTATACAAAGACATGGGAAAAGAGAGTAACAAGTAATAAAAAAGGAAACTTCCAAGAGCTGYATTTTTTCCCCAAAATTTAAAATTGCAAAGTTTTACAAGAGAAAATAAAATTTAAATATAACATGTGACATCTAATGACAGCTTGGTCTTCCAAATACAAAATCACTGGAGATCAAAGGCACTGATTCAAACCATTCGTTGTTAAAATGGTTTCTAACAGCACTTACTTGATGTTTAACAGCAAGAATAAAAATATGGAAAGCATGGCCAGATGATACATTTTATTTATACAGATGTAATGTGTAATTGCATGAAAAATTACTTTTACGTTGTTCTGAATATAATAAATATCTTGTGTTGCACATATCCATAGTCTCTTTTCTAAAATTCTTAATTAATAAGCTTAAGCTTTGAACTGAAAATAGTGTGTCATGACAAAGTGGCCTCCTCTCCCCAACTTTAATCAGATGAACAATGGTCACCAATTGGCTGTATCTGGAGTGGACCTAGAGGATGGGCACACAGCAGGCACCCACCTCTGTGATGGGGAGGTTTGGAGGAATCTATGCCCTGTCCTGAGGAGCAATACTAGCACAGAACATTCGGATCCTACAATAACAACCTACAAGACCRCTGATGTTATTTGAATTCTATTTCCTAAGGATAGATTTACTTTTATCTTGTTCTGAAAAGCTAATCTGAACTACTTCTCTAGGTTACCTCTGTGGGCAATGAAGAGATTGCCATGTCCAAGCAGAAAGCCACCTCACTTGCAAGTCATCTTCGAACAGGCATTCTCTCTTGACAGACACGTTAAATACTATATTGCCAAGGAAAAGTGTTGCACGAGGTCTACGTGGCCAAGTTTGGGTTGCAGGGGCTGCAGGAGGACCTGTGCAGGAGAGGTTCATGCAGTGCGCTGTGCCAGTCATAGCCCATTACAGCCATGCTGCGAGAAAGCAGAACAGCCCAAGGTTGTCCAAAACTGCAACTGATTGCAAATAAATTAAGTGCAGTTTCCAGAGTCCAGGTGGTTTGCCCATGATGGGTAGAAATGACTGTCATCTTGGATGAACCTTCTTAATGGCGGTTCCTGTGATATCCAGCTTCTCTCGTGAAACCTTCTCAGCTTCTCCACCTGCATCATATACAATAAAAWGCATATTTAAAAACAAGAGAATGTCAATTTCCATCAATTTTCTCTTTTTCCCTTTGAATTTGATGTCTCTTTTGGGGGTTGGCTAGGCTTTTGGGAACAACCAAAGGAAAGAAATTCGGCAAAGATGAAGCTTTTCTTTCAGAAAGTGTATGATCCCCCTGCCTTTAGATTTAACAGGGCTCCWAGCAGGGCCCTATTCAGTGGGAGATCCTCTTCTCACACTGTGGTTTCTCTTTGTATCAACTTCTTACAAGGCCACTGTCATGGAGAGATTTTTTCCATTCTGTCCTTATAAAAGGAAGTTCTTTTATAATAAATATTACCTTAAGATTCTATAGAAGTACTTAAAGATTTTTTTTTTTTTTTATCTAAGCAGTAAGCCATCAATATATATCACAAGTCTTTGGGTTACAATAAAGTACATCTTATCTTAGAAACATTAATCAAATTGACTCTAATTGTCTCCTTAATGTAAAATTATACCCACTACAATAACAACAGAAGAGGCAGCCCACTGTAAATATAATATCACATTTTTTCAGTTTGATTTTTGTGGAAGAATTTCTCACACATATATATTTGACTTTAATGGTAAAACCAATAGGACTGTGATTTAATATAAATGAATGTGTAATTAGGTAGGAATTATATTGTCATTTTCTCATATCCACTGTCACTTCTTTGCTTTAATATCTGCATGAAATCACAGTAAAGTAACTTCATCTGAAGGATAACCTGAGTGATCTTTCAAAAAATGGTAAGTAGCTAGGAACACCAGTACCAACAGTATAGTCAGAAACTGTCATTCTTCTCATGTAAGATCTCTAAAAGTAGATTTTAACAAAGATTTCTATGCCCTTCTTTCAGCATAATCCGTGKTTTTTTCCCTCAAAGCCATATAAAGGATGCAGAGCCATGAATATCTGAGGTATGCATAGGAACTGCTACAATAATAATCAAAAAGAAAGTATTAAGTAATTTTAAAATCATTTAGATAGCACTTTAAAAATAATTATATTGACTGATCAGTCAAAATATTCAGTATAGCATCCTAATGCCTATGTAAAAATCAAGCCTTCAGTAGAAAGATAAGATGTAGATCCACCACAGGTGTTGGAGAACTTATACATGAAAAACTTACAAAATATAGAGATTATCAGATCACTGATCCCATGAGAGTTAGCCATGATACACATAGTAAGTCCTTTTTGGCTTAAGGTATAAGGAAGCACACATCGGGACAGTCACATGATAGAGATCCTTTCTTAAGTATTCAGGCTGTAAGAGGCTTCAGTCTTCATGCAACAGCAGACAATTATATAGAATTCACTGTGGACCAAAAAAATAAAAATACATTCAGTATCTATTTGAGGAATTAGTATTAGCAAGCATAAGAATTTGGTTAAATGTTCCAGATTGCAATTGTATAAAAACACATGATCAGTTCACAGTGCATACAAATTTACCCATGTAAGAAGCTAGGGACCCTATTTGGAAGTAAAAAAAGGAATCAATAATGTGAAGGTACTTGTATTACATATGTCTTCTAACATGGTTTTAACATGCTTCAATAGAAAAATTCACATTACATCTTGGAAGTCAGGTCTATAGAATTTTTAATTATCCTGATTTTAAGAACACAGTTATTTTCTAGTATACTGTGAATATACCACTTTCYAGTATATTATGAATATACTCTGCTATACTCTACTATGCTGCTGACTTACCACAGCTTTTCAATCACTTCTCTTGCTGCTGTTTTTTTGTTACAGTTTGGCCAGCTATACAATAATACAGCATGCTCTTCTACAAAGTAGTGGGGACTGTTCACAAGACTTCAGTACTGGGAATGAGTCAAGCTCACAAAGTCTGGGTGACTGGGTTTCAGATAGATCCTCAGAGTTCACAACTAAGAAGTAGTAAGAAATAGTTTCCTTATCCATGTCATAGGCTAAGTGAGATGGCATTTAAAGTATATTTAGCTCTGTTTTGTCAAATATCTGTGAGGGAATTACTTTATTTCTGTATTTACTTTTATATTAGCATCCAGCTAAAGAGCGTTTTTTTACAATATTTGCCTTACATCCCCCGTATGAGCTTATTGGTGGAAAAGTATGTATCTGCTCCTCACAAAGGTTAAGGGAAACAAGTCAAAAGAGTTTATTTTATGTATGCTGAGTAGATATGCTGGTAGCTTTAAGGAAAATCAAGCTATTTCAATCCACCCATATTTCAATTCTATTTCTGCGAGTACATTAAACGTGGTATCACTGCACTTATGTACTTTTTATGTTTCTGGTTCAGAAACTCCAGGTTCTTCTTGAACAATAAAAACAACAAAAAAAGAGATCTACATTGCCTTATGCACTTGTCTAATAGTCCAGGACAAAACATAATTTTCCATTCAATGTGGAAATACTTTGGCAATCTTTTGGCCTTCCTCTATCTTCTTTTCCATAACAGTCTCGAAGCCAGTAAAAAACAAAATACTTTCCTAGAATATGAAGCAAAGAGAAAGATCAGTGAAAAACATAATAAAAAGAAAGGCTTTTAGATGACTGGCATTATTTCTGAAACTGAAGTTCCTAGAAACAATTAGATATTCCATTCTTCCTCTCAACCCTCTGGAGAACTCACCCCTGTGAAACGTTTTAAAACTGAGGGAAAACAAAAAGAATTTTACAAACCACAATGGTGCAGCTTTAAATGAAGCCCTGCAGGCTGTTTGCAGCTGTTTGCTTTAGGTCTGGCTGGTTTTGTCATGAAGAGAAAGCAGCACATGTTTTCATATGGATCATCTTTCCCACAATACCTCTACTTTTCCGGATGCTTCCAAAAACATATATCCATATATTATAAACTATACAAGATAGATTATTTTCTTTGTGGAAAGCAATTCTGTTTATAGGTGTTTAATCAAAACAGCTAATTTCATGTCATTTCATTATCTATACAATATTCAACTTAAATATTTTCATCCCAGAGCAGCTCATTAGGTTTGCTTAGTTATGTTTGAATTCCTCAGTTACCTTCTTCCAAATGATGTCTGATGGCTTTGCGTCTGATGTTGTATTTGCTTTGCATATAAATTTCAGTTTATTTCTCTTCAGAGAGCATCAGTCTGTGTTTGATTTTGCTTTGGAAGTGTCCAGGTCTGGCAACATTGCAGGAGACAAATAAAATCTGTACAACAATTTTGTGGTCATCCTACAACCTGTTCCCTACATAACTTGCTGATTTACAGAGACGCGCTAAGTTGTCTTCTGAATACACATGGGATATATTTCTGAGGYAGATGATTTTTCTGTTCTCTTTGAATGCATCTATTATCAAGAGAGATGATTTCACAAGATGAGATAATTCCAAAGAGCTTAAATCAAACGCACAGAGAGATATGAAGGTGCAGATATTATTCCTGAAGGGTCTCACAATGAGTCTTCAAAGTGAACTGAAAGGTGGGAGCAGGTTTGGGCTGCTAAATGAACAGAGATGCTCAGAACAAAGTGCATTGCTTTAAGAACACTGCCTTCATGTCTACAAACAGAATTACAAGATAACAACTTGTTACTGTATGCTCTACCACAACAGCTAAACCCAAACACAGAAAAAGGGGTGCAATAATCTGACCTCCTAATCATGGACATTTCCATTCACAACCACATTTGGTGGTATCCAGAACCAGCAAGGATTKCAAGGCAACCTGGTGCTGAAATTCTGGGGACAATACTCTCAAGGAAAGTGTCCAGTTATGAAGGCAAGTGCTTCATTATCCTTTCCAGAAACTTCAGTCTTTTAGAAGGGCTACAGGAATGAAAAGGACAATGAATGAAATTGTTCTTATTTATTTATCTGTATATCAGTAAATTCAGGTAGAGCTATGTGCATCATAGAATCAGTTAAAATTTMTTAAGGAGTAAATAATTAAGCATCTGATTTGAATATGATTAGGCTGATAATATTAGATTGATAATATTAGAGGTCTAAGAAGTGTCTCTGCTTGTTTCTATTTGATATATGGCTCACATTTTTAGTGACTGAATACAACATATTTACTTTTTTCTTTTAATAAACATAAAGCTTAAGACTATTTTTGCAACCTTTCTTTTTTAAATAAAAACACTCAGAATTCTTGGTCATATCTTACCTTTTTAAGTTGTCTTGGCACTAGAATGGTTCTTCTTTGATGTACTCTACTTAAACTTAAGCAGCTTTGCATGAGAAAGGAATGCAAAAACATGTTAACAACAGTTTCTGAAGTAAAGATGTTTATGGATGACAAAATACAATAAAATATGAAACACTTCCAGGTCGAAAATGGTGTTTCAACTACAACACTATAAATCAAGCAGGATCCTCAGCTGATTCCTCTGAAGGTAGCTGTACTTTTATAAATCTGAGAACATGTAAAATGAATGTTGTCTTGTAACACAGGGAATATGTCTCACATTTTTTCATTGTTAAGTGCAAGCACAAAACAAGTTCTTGGCCACTGATACATCTGACATAAGAATGTACAACTTAGCTAAACTGAAAGATTGCATTTAATTTCCATGAATCTGAATGATTACCCAAGAGTTAAATTATGTGCACGTCTTCCCTGAACTCTTCAGTTTCTTTCAGTCAAATGGAAAGACTGTATGGGTGAAAAACACTTGTATTAAATTATGTATTTGAATGAACTTTAAGATTTAAAGATGTAAATGTTAAGTGCAAAATTATGCATGGTAAAAGAATGCTGTGGTAATGTTCTGAAGTGATCATTTATTACACCATAGCAACAAGCAGTGCTTTCAAGCCTACCAACTCCTATAATATTCTCATTACACCTTAAAGGGGTCATCTGAAACTGAGAGGACAAGCTGGTTTTTTTAAAAGACAAAAGGAAGATGATTCTTAAGAAAAATAGCTATCTCTGAATATTGATTAGAATGAATACTGTAAAGTGAGGAGGAAATAGCTTGGTAGTGCTTTATATCCTTAAGGTTACTCACAGTCTAAACTGCACTAAACACCAATCATCAAAAGACTCTGTGTGCCAGAAACTGAAGTAACTACRCTGCACACAGATTTGTGAGCATCGAACAGAGTATCAGTATGACTGTATTGAGTCAGGTGGAAAACACAGTTATCCCAGTTCCCTGTCTCCAGAGTAGACAATAGTGGATATCTGGGGATGGAAAATTAGCAAAGGCAAGATTGGTTCTGTTGGATTTTATATTTAATAGAGCTTTTTCTGAAAAAATAATCACTTTGGAAATGATCCTTGTGAAATGCTGTCATTCATGACATTCTGTACCAATGACTTCTATAGTTAACCTAGACATTATGTGAAAAGTACCTTTTTTTTTACTTTGAGCTGGTGCCTGATGATTTATCCAATGCCCTTCATTCTTACAGTTAAGAGAAAAAATAATGAGTAACCATAGGCATCCCAAAATTTGGCTGCAGATGAAAGAGCAGTTCTACCACAGTATTATGTTTGAAGGAGCAAAGTACTTATCTTTTGCTTATTTTGTTAGGAAACTTATAACATTTTAGAAGGTCATTTAGTCTGTTCATTTGAAATCAAAGAGTCATGATGTTCTCTAACTCAACTTTGTTGAATTTATCAAATAACAATATATTTGTTATTTGTTATATTAGTTGGAAAGCTTAGAAGAAAGATGTCCATGCACATCTCTGTACATATAAGTATGTCATATGGTCAAGCTTTTGTTTTTAAGCAAACAGGAAAAATGAGTACCAGTGCATATTTATTGAAATTCTGGTTTTAAAGAACAGGGAGGAGTAAACTTTTGAGAAGAGATTGCCTTCTGTGTTTTTACAAAGAGGCTACTTAAAGGCTTCCAGAATCTTAACAATTTTCCTCTGAGAAAAAGCTTTCTACATTTGTAAAAATTCAGACAATTTCCTTAATTTATGATATCAATTAACTTGTGGTATGGTGGATACTAACAGAAGATAGCTGTGAATGTAAGAATACATATTCCTGTAAATCAGCTGTTCTGTCTTGCAAAGGAATAGGTTAAAATATAACTACTACTTGAAAATAAATAGGGATACTACGTGAGGTTTTATGAAGATTAAAAGTTGAACTGGAAATAGAACTCTGGGCCAGATGGTACTATATATAAGTATTTGAAAGTATTATACATAGTCATATCTTTAGTGTAGCTCAAATTGCTGAAAATGCATATAAAGTAGCTGATTTTCCTGCTAACTCTGGATCCTCATCTATGTGTTTCCCTTAGTGTTCTCTGGTGGTCTTTGGAGGGAAAAAAAGTATTCTTTTTACATAAGTCATATCAAACTCTTAACATAATCCTGACATAATGATAACCAATATACTGTGCCACAAACACTGATATCTGCTGCCTTGTTTTTTTGAGACAAGAAGGCATTGCTATTCAGAATAATACTAGTAATATGAAAAGAAGTGCAGATATGGGACTTTCAAAGCTGGAAAGGTAGTAATTTAAAAAGAATTAAGGTGTCTTGACTTGTCAGGAATTCAATGTCTCTGGTCTCTACAGCTGACTTCTCTTGTCATATTCCCTTCATCTTCTCCTCTTCACTTTCTGCCACTTCCTTCTGCAGAGTCTGATTCTGTGGAACCACTTGGTACCAACCCCAGTAAGAGCACACACTGGTATGTTTTTGCATCTCCATTAATCTTCAGGTCTCTGTACCTCCGTTTTCATATGCAGTCCCTTTACGTCGATATTCATACATTTTCCCCTCATCTTAGATTCCAGTTACAGCCATTGAATTGCACTGCAATCTGTCTTATTTTTTTATAATCACCACTGTAATACTTTAATACTATACTATGGCAATTGCAGTATAATACTATGTCAATTTTAATAGAAACAGTATGGGTGTAAATCCAGGGGAATAATAATATTCGTTTCTTACTCACAGCATTCACACCCTAATAGTTACCTCATCAAAACACGATACAATGATATTCTAAAGAYAAGTGATTTAGTGGTTGCCGTGTCACCTCTGACTAATTTGTATCCAAAGATTTGGATATTTAGCAGTAACACGTTTAAGGCATGCTGCTATTTTTTCTGCCAGTTTACATCACTGGGGAAACAGGARATGAGAAATGTCTCACTTTCTCTCTACTGAGACAATCTGAGGTGCACTGTTAACTGTAAAGACTGGAGAAAATCATTCATAATTATCCTTCATTAATTATCCTTCCCTCACTGGGAAGTTTCTGCTCAGACTTTTTAAAATAAAAATTTTCAATGTCTTAATATCAATTTTGCCACAAAATAATCATATTTGTTTTGAAGAATTCTGAATACAGTATTTTATTTTGGAACAAACAAATCTGACTCTTGTCACAAAATTTTGTGTTGTAAAAATTAAATTTAAACTTGCTTCACATATGTTCAATATTTGCTTGTCAAACTGAGAAGAAAACATCAGACAGTAGCTTGATGGATAAAATGACACCTTTGTGAAGGTGTCTTCACATACTCTTATCCATCCATTTCCCCACTTTTGAGACTAGATTAACACTTTTTTAAGTCTTCTGTCTCTCCACTGGTTGTTTTGTCCATTTCCCAGATGATCACATCCACAGTGAAACCCTGATTTTTACTGACTCTTGTACATGTCAATTTACATGCATATATCTTTATGTTCAGGATAACCTGAATCCAGTTTTCCCTCAATTATTCCAATTGTAATGTTACCAGGTATGAATATACAAACTAATATTGGAATGTTTCTAAGAGTAAAGGTTTTATAAATTTCCAGTGCAGGGAGAAATTTGATACTTTGTTATTTCATTGTAATTCAGGATGAGAACAAGAGTTGGAATAATCATTTCTTTTTAAGAAAGAAACTCTGTCCCCAACCAGCATTATATTTATTTAAGAATGATGAAAAACTTCATAGACCACATTTCCTAAATTATGAAAATTCTCTAAAGATTCTATTTCAAGTAGGTAGATTTTTTGCAGTTCTTGCAGAGCAGAGTAAGCAAATTAACATCAAGACAGAAAATTAAGTTTTATGTGGCAGAAGATCCAATGAAGACAAAAATAGGATGAAGATAAAAATGTGGGAGAACAAGAAAACTGCTCAATTTGATCCTCTGCAAGCTGGCCAGGGATTTAAAAGCAGATTTCTAATATCACAAAGAGGATAACAGATAGGCTGTATATGGGAGGGTTACACCTTGGTTGCTCCTCCATTGTGTATTCAGTCCCTATCTCAGAGTGCTCCCTGCACTGAAAGCTCAGGACTGGTTTGATGTAGTGAGGCACCTGCAAGAATCCTCATTTGAGGATTCAGCTCCAGTTTCTGACCATTCAGACCATTCTGAAGCTGGGGACCCTAATATGTATGTATGCTTGCAAACACAAACAGGCTCAGGCATCAGTTGACTTCATCTGAAAATGTCAGGGGCATCTTGGTGGTGCCTAYGTAAAGTCATGTAACAAGCATAAAGCTGAGACTTCTTGGAAACCAGCTTTCCCAAATATCAGGGTTGTTTCTAATTTGGGCAATATGTAGGGAGAACAATAAA